CTGTTTATGTTCTTACTGCTATGTTATGAAGTGACTAACAGTTGTGTGTTTTATTCTGTTTATGTTCTTACTGTTATGTTTTGAAGTGACTAACAGTTGTGTATTTTATTCTGTGTATGTTCTTACTGTCATGTTTTGAAGTGACTAACAGTTGTGTGTTTTATTCTGTTTATGTTCTTACTGTCATGTTTTGAAGTGACTAACAGTTGTGTATTTTATTCTGTTTATGTTCTTACTGTCATGTTATGAAGTGACTAACAGTTGTAATTTATTCTGTTTATGTTCTTACTGTTATGTTTTGAAGTGACTAACAGTTGTGTGTTTTATTCTGTTTATGTTCTTACTGAGATGTTTTGAAGTGACTAACAGTTGTGTATTTTATTCTGTTTATGTTCTTACTGTCATGTTATGAAGTGACTAACAGTTGTAATTTATTCTGTTTATGTTCTTACTGATATGTTTTGAAGTGAGTAACAGTTGTGTATTTTATTCTGTTTATGTTCTTACTGTTATGTTTTGAAGTGACTAACAGTTGTGTGTTTTATTCTGTTTATGTTCTTACTGTCATGTTTTGAAGTGACTAACAGTTGTGTGTTTTATTCTGTTTATGTTCTTACTGATATGTTTTGAAGTGACTAACAGTTGTGTATTTTATTCTGTTTATGTTCTTACTGTTATGTTTTGAAGTGACTTACAGTTGTGTGTTTTATTCTGTTTATGTTCTTACTGAGATGTTTTGAAGTGACTAACAGTTGTGTGTTTTATTCTGTTTATGTTCTTACTGTTATGTTTTGAAGTGACTAACAGTTGTGTATTTTATTCTGTGTATGTTCTTACTGTCATGTTTTGAAGTGACTAACAGTTGTGTGTTTTATTCTGTTTATGTTCTTACTGTCATGTTTTGAAGTGACTAACAGTTGTGTATTTTATTCTGTTTATGTTCTTACTGTCATGTTATGAAGTGACTAACAGTTGTAATTTATTCTGTTTATGTTCTTACTGTTATGTTTTGAAGTGACTAACAGTTGTGTGTTTTATTCTGTTTATGTTCTTACTGAGATGTTTTGAAGTGACTAACAGTTGTGTATTTTATTCTGTTTATGTTCTTACTGTCATGTTATGAAGTGACTAACAGTTGTAATTTATTCTGTTTATGTTCTTACTGTCATGTTATGAAGTGACTAACAGTTGTGTATTTTATTCTGTTTATGTTCTTACTGTCATGTTATGAAGTGACTAACAGTTGTCTGTTTTATTCTGTTTATGTTCTTACTGTCATGTTTTGAAGTGACTTACAGTTGTGTGTTTTATTCTGTTTATGTTCTTACTGCTATGTTATGAAGTGACTAACAGTTGTGTGTTTTATTCTGTTTATGTTCTTACTGTTATGTTTTGAAGTGACTAACAGTTGTGTATTTTATTCTGTGTATGTTCTTACTGTCATGTTTTGAAGTGACTAACAGTTGTGTGTTTTATTCTGTTTATGTTCTTACTGTCATGTTTTGAAGTGACTAACAGTTGTGTATTTTATTCTGTTTATGTTCTTACTGTCATGTTATGAAGTGACTAACAGTTGTAATTTATTCTGTTTATGTTCTTACTGTTATGTTTTGAAGTGACTAACAGTTGTGTGTTTTATTCTGTTTATGTTCTTACTGAGATGTTTTGAAGTGACTAACAGTTGTGTATTTTATTCTGTTTATGTTCTTACTGTCATGTTATGAAGTGACTAACAGTTGTAATTTATTCTGTTTATGTTCTTACTGTCATGTTATGAAGTGACTAACAGTTGTATTTTATTCTGTGTATGTTCTTACTGTTATGTTATGAAGTGACTTACAGTTGTCTGTTTTATTCTGTTTATGTTCTTACTGTCATGTTATGAAGTGACTAACAGTTGTAATTTATTCTGTTTATGTTCTTACTGTCATGTTATGAAGTGACTAACAGTTGTATTTTATTCTGTGTATGTTCTTACTGTCATGTTATGAAGTGACTAACAGTTGTGTGTTTTATTCTGTTTATGTTCTTACTGAGATGTTTTGAAGTGACTTACAGTTGTGTGTTTTATTCTGTTTATGTTCTTACTGTCATGTTTTGAAGTGACTAACAGTTGTGTGTTTTATTCTGTTTATGTTCTTACTGTCATGTTTTGAAGTGACTAACAGTTGTGTATTTTATTCTGTTGATGTTCTTACTGAGATGTTTTGAAGTGACTTACAGTTGTGTGTTTTATTCTGTTTATGTTCTTACTGTTATGTTATGAAGTGACTAACAGTTGTGTATTTTATTCTGTGTATGTTCTTACTGTTATGTTATGAAGTGACTTACAGTTGTCTGTTTTATTCTGTTTATGTTCTTACTGATATGTTTTGAAGTGACTAACAGTTGTGTGTTTTATTCTGTTTATGTTCTTACTGATATGTTTTGAAGTGAGTAACAGTTGTGTATTTTATTCTGTTTATGTTCTTACTGTCATGTTTTGAAGTGACTAACAGTTGTGTATTTTATTCTGTTTATGTTCTTACTGTCATGTTTTGAAGTGACTTACAGTTGTGTATTTTATTCTGTTTATGTTCTTACTGTTATGTTTTGAAGTGACTAACAGTTGTGTGTTTTATTCTGTTTATGTTCTTACTGTCATGTTTTGAAGTGACTAACAGTTGTGTGTTTTATTCTGTTTATGTTCTTACTGTCATGTTTTGAAGTGACTAACAGTTGTGTATTTTATTCTGTTGATGTTCTTACTGTTATGTTATGAAGTGACTAACAGTTGTAATTTATTCTGTTTATGTTCTTACTGTCATGTTATGAAGTGACTAACAGTTGTAATTTATTCTGTTTATGTTCTTACTGTCATGTTTTGAAGTGACTAACAGTTGTGTATTTTATTCTGTTTATGTTCTTACTGTCATGTTATGAAGTGACTAACAGTTGTAATTTATTCTGTTTATGTTCTAACTGTTATGTTTTGAAGTGACTAACAGTTGTGTATTTTATTCTGTTTTTGTTCTTACTGTCATGTTTTGAAGTGACTAACAGTTGTGTGTTTCATTCTGTTTATGTTCTTACTGTCATGTTTTGAAGTGACTAACAGTTGTGTATTTTATTCTGTTCATGTTCTTACTGTGATGTTATGAAGTGACTAACAGTTGTGTATTTTATTCTGTGTATGTTCTTACTGTTATGTTATGAAGTGACTAACAGTTGTGTGTTTTATTCTGTTTATGATTTTACTGTCATGTTATGAAATGACTAACAGTTGTGTGTTTTATTCTGTTTATGTTCTTACTGTCATGTTTTGAAGTGACTAACATTTGTGTGTTTTATTCTGTTTATGTTCTTACTGTTATGTTATGAAGTGACTAACATTTGTGTGTTTTATTCTGTTTATGTTCTTACTGTCATGTTTTGAAGTGACTAACAGTTGTGTGTTTTATTCTGTTTATGTTCTTACTGAGATGTTTGGAAGTGACTAACAGTTGTGTATTTTATTCTGTTAATGTTCTTACTGTCATGTTTTGAAGTGAATAACAGTTGTGTGTTTTATTCTGTCAATGTTCTTACTGTCATGTTTTGAAGTGACTAACAGTTGTGTATTTGATTCTGTTCATGTTATTACTGTCATGTTTTGAAGTGACTAACAGTTGTGTGTTTTATTCTGTTTATGTTATTACTGTCATGTTTTGAAGTGACTAACAGTTGTGTATTTTATTCTGTTTATGTTCTTACTGTCATGTTTTGAAGTGACTAACAGTTGTGTGTTTTATTCTGTTTATGTTCTTACTGTTATGTTTTGAAGTGACTAACAGTTGTGTGTTTTATTCTGTTGATGTTCTTACTGAGATGTTTTGAAGTGACTAACAGTTGTGTGTTTTATTCTGTTTATGTTCTTACTGTCATGTTTTGAAGTGACTAACAGTTGTGTGTTTTATTCTGTTGATGTTCTTACTGAGATGTTTTGAAGTGACTAACAGTTGTGCATTTTATTCTGTTGATGTTCTTACTGTTATGTTATGAAGTGACTAACAGTTGTGTATTTTATTCTGTTTATGTTCTTACTGTAATGTTTTGAAGTGACTAACAGTTGTGTGTTTTATTCTGTTCATGTTCTTACTGTCATGTTTTGAAGTGACTAACAGTTGTGTATTTTATTCTGTTCATGTTCTTACTGTTATGTTATGAAGTGACTAACAGTTGTGTATTTTATTCTGTTGATGTTCTTACTGTCATGTTTTGAAGTGACTAACAGTTGTGTATTTTATTCTGTCAATGTTCTTACTGTCATGTTTTGAAGTGACTAACAGTTGTGTATTTTATTCTGTTTATGTTCTTACTGTCATGTTTTGAAGTGACTTGCAGTTGTGTGTTTTATTCTGTCAATGTTCTTACTGTCATGTTTTGAAGTGACTAACAGTTGTGTATTTGATTCTGTTTATGTTCTTACTGTTATGTTTTGAAGTGACTAACAGTTGTGTGTTTTATTCTGTTGATGTTCTTACTGAGATGTTTTGAAGTGACTTACAGTTGTGTGTTTTATTCTGTTAATGTTCTTACTGTCATGTTTTGAAGTGACTAACAGTTGTGTATTTTATTCTGTTTAGGTTCTTACTGTTATGTTTTGAAGTGACTAACAGTTGTGTGTTTTATTCTGTCAATGTTCTTACTGTCATGTTTTGAAGTGACTTGCAGTTGTGATTTATACTGTATTAATCTGCTGTATTGGTAACCAGCAAGGTTAAAGTTATTTAAAGTAAGTGTTTTATACTGTTTATGTTCAACTGTCAGGTTTTGAAGTAACATGCAATTGTATTTCATTCTATTACAATTTGCTGTATTTTGAAGTAACATGTAGTTATGTGATTTATATTGCTCAAGTAAGATCTACTATGTTCTGAAGTTATCTGTAGTTGTGTGGTTTTTTTTTACTGTACATAATTAATTTGCTCTAGTTCTAATTTGGATGTTACTACTGTACCTAATGAGACTGTTTTACCTACCGATTGATATTCAATGTCTGCTTTATTCTCTAGGCATATTTTCACATCGTTTACATTTCCAGTCTGAGCATCTGCAAGAAGTTTCTGTAAGTAAAACATAGATTTTACATTTAATAGATTGTAATGAAAAATAAATGAAACAACTGTTAAATAAAGCAATAATTATTTATTCTCCTGCATGACAAATAACTATATAAATCGGGGGTATCCTCACTTCAAATAACATTCAGGCAGAGAGGATATGTACCAATTATCAGTTTGCCTGCATATTGACATTGTTAAGAATCAGCTGTGATTCACAATATGATGCCCTCACAGATGCAAAGTGTTATTTTAACATACACAAAGTTGAGCATGGGAGCACATAGGTCTATGGTTCACTGTAGGAGGAGTTATCTGGAAACGCTATGCGCCTCTTAAATATGCAAATATATACTCCAAAAATGATAAAGTTCAACTATCTCCCAAAAGAGCAAATATTAATCAAAATCTAAACCCTGACGACATGCACACCTTCAATATATGTTCAAACAGCCAGCAAAGTTAAATCTTCCTAGCATTCAAACTGTAGGAGAAGTTATCTGGAATAACTATACTATATACCCATAATGGGACGGAAGGACAGACAGGGGTAAAACAATATGCCCCCAGCTTTCAGTTGATGGGGCATAAAAAAAACTTTTGGATAACAATGGTGCGTTGTGTCAATTTACACTTTATACCATAAAATAGATGTTTTTTTTCAACTTAAGAACTTAACAAATGCAAGAGGAGAGAACTTCTGTATTTTTTATTTATTAAAAATTGTCCAATATTTTCTCTAACAACTCAATAGGGTTATGTATTTGACATTGTAAACAAGCATTCTGAAGGTACTAGATATAGAATAAACCTTAAGAGAGTGTATACACTTATATTTAAAAAACATTCGATACATTTCTGAAAAATAAAAAAACCTAAAACACTAAACTGCCACTAAATTATGCATGATAATCAGCTCCAAGTTACTGACACCATGACCTCAGAGGATTTCTGGCAAGTTACTAATGATTTATAAAAAATAAATGGGGAATGTGTCCATGGGAAACAGATGATGCCCCCGCTTGCATATAACGTTATAAAGGGCCATAACTCAAGAACTGTAAAAGTGACACTACCCAAATTTGAACTTGATCTGAGTTTTGTGGTAATAAGAATTTTTTATAAGTTTCATAACATTTAGTTGAGGTAAACTTAAATTAGAGAACAGAAACGAAAAATTCAGCAATTCTTCCATTTTTAAAAGGCATAACTCTAGAACAGTAGATTGATTGATGGTTGGTTGCTTAACGTCCACTAGAACAGTAGAAGTGATGCCACCAAAATTCAACCTTTATCTGTGTTTTGTGGTAATTAGCATTGTGCATAAGTTTCATAACATTTGGTTGAGGCAAACTAAAGTTGGAGAACAGAAACAAATATTTCAGCAATTTTGAGATTTGTTAAGGGGCATAACTCTAGAACGGTAAAAGTGATGCCAACAAAATTCAAACTTAATCTGTGTATTGTGGTAATTAGCATTGTGCATAACATTTGGTTGAGGCAAACTAAAGTTAGAGAACATAAACTAATATTTCAGCAATTTTTCCATTGGAAAGGGGCATAACTTTTAGAACGGTAAAAGTGACACCACCAAAATTCAAACTTGATCTGTGTTTTGTGGTAATAAATATTGTGGATAAGTTTCATAACATTTGCATGATTTGGTTGAGGTAAACTCGTTAGAGAACGGAAACAAAAAAATCAGCAATTTTTTCATTTGTAAAGGAGCATAACTCTAGAATGGTAAAAGTGACCCCACCAAAATTCATACTCGATCTGTGTTTTGGGGTAATAAGCATTGTGGATAAGTTTCATATCATTTGGTTGAGGCAAACTAAAGTTAGAGAACGGTAACCAATTTTGGGACGTACGGACGGGCGTACGGACATACAGACGGACAAGGGTAAAACTTAATGCCCCCTCCGCTATGGCGGGGGCATAAAAATAAAAAAGGCAAGAAATTTCATGCAGTTTATGCCTATCTTTGCTATGAGTTGTTATTAGCAACACCTTAGTCAAATGTTTGTAGTACATTTTCTTTGTCCCAATCTTTGTTGTGTTTGTTTTATTTTTGATCTTGTAATATCTTTTTTTGTAGGTCACGTAGAATTCTACTAGTTTGTATCTCAAATCATCACATACAAGTATTTTTGGTAAGAAAATGGAAATAAAAGGTCACATGACAATTGGACTTAAAAGTAAATCTTACCTTATTCCAATATTCCATTATATCCTAAAAATAGAAAAAAAAAAATTTTAAATATATACTGTTGTAGTTATCATTGAGTTATAATTGTTAATGCCAATTGAAAATACATGATCATTATGGACTTGAAAATTACTGACCTAATATTTTCAGATATTAATCTAATCCAAAAACATGTAATACTAGCATCTAAAAGACTATCTCAACTTTTCTGCACTATTTGAAATTTGTGTCGCTCACCTGGTGAAAATATCGCTAGTTTGCTCACTACGATTTGTATATGCACATACTAGTTACTCTTTGTGTTGCTGATAATTTTTGCAATTTACATATCTAACCTAGGTCCTATAGGTTTTTAGATAACAGCCAAAACTGCAAACAATGAGTACACACGCTGAAATGTCTCGCCTTCTTTACTGACCATTTATGTTGATATTCCTTAATATAAAGTTTTACTACAAGTATCACATGAACTTAATATGATCAAAGAAAATGAGGTCAAGGTTTGATAAACCAAGCCAGAAATACATGTACATCTTACAATCATTCCATACACCAAATATAGTTGATCTTTTGCTAGTAGTATACAAGACAGACCAAATCATTAAAATTTTATATTGACAAATGAACCATGAAAATTAGGTAAAGGACAGATGAACCCTGTCAGACAGACATATACACCTTACAATCATTCCATGGATCACAGTGTTCTCCCCAGGATTTTTGGATAGCACCAGGGTAACGCGTGTTGACTTCTTGGTGAAATATTTCATGCAATCAGTTGTGTCGCGTCGCGTCTCTTAGCTCTAGTTACTGTAGTCTCTTGTATTGTTTTAACACTGTGGTACTGTGTTATGTAGACATTGATTCAGAAAATTATTGGTAAAAAAGAAGTAAATAAAAAACCAGTTTATATACTTTAATATTTTATTAAAATAAATAAATTACGATTCATAATAAAATATTCATCTGAATTTAAAGTAATTAAATCTTTTATAAAATCCAAAATCAATAAAAATAAAATATCATTCAAAAGAGAACAAAAATGTTCAATTTAAAAAACTTTCTAGTTTCTAGAAAAAAAGTTGTTTTATGTGAAAGGGTTCCTGTCATAAGAAGATATAAAATTAACAAGAACAATTGCAAATATTGTTTTATTATTTGAACCAGTTTCTATCTTAGATTTTAATAAAAAGAAAATTTTCATAAAATTTAGAACATTTTGCCGTAGATTTCATGTAATTATTAACCTTTCTTGTCTTTGGTGATAATCAAACATAGATACAGACTTAATACTGCCCTAAAATCTAAATCTTTATTTGTCATGAACCATTTAAAAAGAATTCCTAAATCTATAAATTTATCTTTGGTCTATTGATCTATAAGTAACCATATTCAATGTCAACAACTAAGTTTCCCTATTTTCCCGCCTAAATGACAGGTAGTAGATATAAATAGATTTAACATGTGCTTATGGATAAAATTTGCAAGATTACTTCTGTTATTCATTATTTATGGATATAGATATCCAGTTTGAAGGTACAGTCATGCATTGTATTTATAAAATATAATAGATTGCAATCATCAAATGTAGTTGACCTATTGCATATAGTATTTAAGGAAAAAACTAAACCAGGAAAACATCATAATGACCAATGAACCATGAAAAAGATGTCAAGTTGAGATGAAACCTGCAAGAAAGGTTTTCCTGTTTGAATTGTTTTACACTAGTAATTTTTGGGCCTTTATAGCTTGCTGTTCAGTGTGAGCCAAGGCTCCATGTTGAAGGCCGTACTTTGACCTATAATGGTTTACTTTTTACACATTGTGCCTGGGATGGAGAGTTGTCTCATTTGTATTCATATCACATCTTCTTATATCTATATAGTATATACACTTTAAAATCATTCCATACACCAAATATAGTTGACCCATTGCTTATAGTTTAAGAAAAACAACCAAAACAAAAAACTTAACATTGAGAAATGAGCCATGAAAATGAGGTCAAGGTCAAATAAAACCTGCCAGACTAACTTGTACATAATAAAATATTTCCATACATCATATATAGTCGACCTATTGCATACAGTACTAGAAAAACAGACCAAAACAAAACAACTTGACTATATCCACTGAACCATGAAAATGAGGTCAGTCAGATGACACCTGGCAGTTGGGCATGTACAACTTACAATCATTCCATACACCAAATATAGTAGACCTATTGCTTATATGTTTACTTCTGAGATATGGACTTGACAACAAAAACTTGTTCACTGATCTGTGAAATGAGGTCAAGGTCAAGTGAAAACTATCTGACAGGCATGATGACCTTGCAAGGCACGCACATACCAAATATAGTTATCCTATTACTCATAATAAGAGAGAAATTAACAATACAAAAAAACTTTGAATTTTTTTTCAAGTAGTCACTGAACCATGAAAATGAGGTCAAGGAAAATGGACATGTCATATCATATGACAGACGGAAACTTCATAACATAAAACATCTATATACAGAGTATGAAACATCCAAGTATTCTAGCTTCTGAAATATTTAGCTATTTAGTAGTTAGTTAGCGCCGCCATCGCTGCTGGATCACTATCCCTGTCGAGCTTTCTGCTATAAAATGGTGATATATGTATGCTCGCTTAGTTGATCTTCAAAATTTTAAAATCCTTGAGCATCTTTAGGCTCGTCAGTTTTGAAAATGAGTCTAGATAGTTTTCATGACTTCATGACTCATTGACTGCCTTATTGAGAACCCTGTCTCCAATCTTTCATTCATACAGCTCATTTTTTAGTTAACAACTCTATTTTTATATGCAATTTATATTGTAATGATTGCAATGTTTATTAGTTTTTTACTCTAACAAGCAATTAATTTTGTAAATAGGTCATGTTATTTTTGTTGAACAGTTGCTCAATGAAAAATGTTTATCCTGTTAAAAATGAATTAAAAGCACTGGTGTAATGCAACCTACTAGAATGAACCAGCTAGCTCTTGATTATCTCCCCTTTTATAATTTTAACAATTACATGTACATTGTAGTTCATTTAATAAACTGGGGTATTTACCACTCAACCTTGTTATACTGTGACATACCAGTATCCTTATAATACAAAATAAAATGCTTCGCTGGGGCGCAGCTTGATACGACCGCAGAGGTCGAACCCTGAACAGTTGGGGCAAGTATGGACACAACATTCAAGCTTGATACAGCTCTGAATTTGGATTGTTATTAAATATTTGACACAGCATAGGTTTCTGACACAGAAAGAATGTGGTCTAAGAACTTGATTTTTTTTAATTTACCTATTATGGTCCAATGTCCAAAATCAAAATACATGGTTAGATTCAGCATATCAAAGAACCCCATATATTCAATTTTTGTTAAAATCAAACAAAGTTTAATTTTGGACCCCAACTTGGACAAACTTGAAAACTGGGCCCATAATCAAAAATCTAAACACATGTTTAGATTCAGCATATCAACACTACAAAAGTCAAAAAGTCTGAAAAGACCAGTTTTTGTCTGAATTTGCATGAATTTTTACTCGACATTCTTAATTTGTCTGAATAATTTTTAAAAATTCTTGACATAGTATGAATTTGTCTAATAAGGTTCTTGATTTTTCTTGACAAGTGTCTTGACAGTATGAACATTGTCTTAAAATTTCTCGATACAGGAAGATAAGAGTCTGGATTAGTCTCGACCAATTCTTGACTGTCTTAAATTTGTCTCGATCTGTCTTGACATATTCTTGATATTCTTAATAATGTCTGAATATGTCTCGACATATTCTTGACATTCTAAATAATGTCTGAATATGTCTCGACACATTCTTGACAGTCTTAAATATGTCTTGACACTGTCTCAACAGTATAAATTTCGCCTGAAATGTGAACAGACTTATTCTGCACTGTTTATGACATTCTTTTGCTGTTATATACACCTTTTTATTATGGCTAAACTAAACTTTGAAGAATCAAGGATTAATTTGGTATAGTAAGATACCCTTTTGGTGCAACTAAGTTGGATTACCCTGAATAATCCCCCATGTAGTTTAATTTAAATTTATTTTTATTAAACATTTAAGTAATTGTTTTCACTTGGAATATAAGTCGAAGGTATTGACAAACAGCATTTAGATTTTTGCCAGTCAAATTTGCTTTACTAAAATAGGTGTCTTGTATCTCTTTTGGACCCCTAAATTCATCTTTTGGGTTTGTGTGGCTAAAAAAAGAGGGGGGGCTTTCGTTTAGGTCAAAGAATTTGTTCCCATCTTGATTCAAAAACCTTATTCATTTTTTAGAACAACCCAAAAACATTTTTTTATTCAAATTTGAGTGTTGAATTTTATAATTTTTTATCAAAAATAAATATTTGTGATAACTCCTTCCTGAAAAGAAAAAAATGTTTAGATCTATATTATGCATGTCTGTTTGAGAACCATTTCATAAGACCGATGATTTCTATAGAAATCATTGATGGGACCCATTATAAATACATTTTTTTTATTATTCCTGGAGTAGATAATAATTTTCTTTTAATCTTTGGGAATTATTCAATTTGTTTTTATGTTAAAATAATTAACTTCATAATTTTGATGAAGAAAATCCATTTCAATTCAATTTTTTTTCATCAAAATGATGATTTTCATTTTCATCTATCAACAAACTTTTTAAATTGTAGTGGCATGGTCGGTCAACTGATAAGTTGTATGGCTGATTACAGGTAAAGCAATAACTTCTATTTGACAGTTGCGTGTACTCTGGGGTGTGGAATACCTTAATTTTATGGGGAACATCCTTTCCATGTGTAATACTTAATATATTCCAACAGATGACATTACACAAATTTTTCTTCTGTTAAATGAATGATTTGTATATCATCATAATTTGCTATTTATATAAACCACATTTTGGTATAATAATTATTTACCATATCAACATTGAATATTATGAATGTAGAATGAAATATGTCTACAGTATGATTGGTTTGAATCATTTAATTTATAAGATTTAGGAATCAAAATTTGTAATTATTTAAAAACCCACATTGAAATTGTTTTATATCAACACACCCACATTTGAATTATTTTATACTTTAGATTTCATAGCCATATTTGCATTTGTGAAAATATTTATATACCCAAATTTTCAATTATTTTACATGCCCAACTTTTATTTTTGTTGTAAAGAAGTGTAACTTGAAACAACAGTATATCATATAAAGAGAAATAAAGATTAAAGTTATATCATGAATATTGGTCATGATTTGTAAAACTCAGAACTGTCAAGTAAATTTAAGACACGATTCAAAATGTTCAGAATATGTCAAGCCATACTGAGAAAAAATAAGAATGTCGAGAATATGTCGAGAAATTTCAAGACAGTATTCAAATGTCAAGAATTTGTCAAGAAATTTTAAGACCATATTCAGAATGTCGAGAATATGTCGAGTAAATTTCATACAAATTTAATATGAATGAGAATTTGTCAAGAAAAATTAAGACACAAGTCATACTTTTGGAGAATGTCGAGTAAAAGTTCATGCAAATTAAGACAAAAACTGGTCTTTTCAGACTTTTAGACTTTTGTAGTGCAAAGAACCCCAAGAATTCAATTTTTTGCTAAAATCAAACTAAGTTTAATTTTGGACCCTTTGGACCTTAATGTAGACCAATTTAAAAAACGGGACTTAAAATTAAAAATCTAAATACACGGTTAGATTTGGAATATCAAAGAACCCCAATAATTCAATTTTTGATGAAATCAAACAAAGTTTAATTTTGGACCCTTTTGACCTCAATATGAAGCAATTTGATAGCGGGGCCCACAAATAAAAAATCTAAATTCATGGTTAGATTCAGCATATCAAAGAACCCCATATATTCAATTTTTGTTGAAATCAAAAAAAGTTTAATTTTGGACCCCAACTTGGACCAACTAGAAAACTGGGCCCATAATCAAAAATCTAAACACATGTTTAGATTCAGCATATCAAAGAACCCCAAGAATTCAATTTTTGTTAAAATCAAACTAAGTTTAATTTTGGACCCTTTGGACCTCAATGAAGACCAATTTAAAAAACGGGACCCAAATTAAAAATACGGTTAGATTTGGCATATCAAAGAACCCCAATAATTCAATTTTCGATGAAATCAAACAAAGTTTAATTTTGGACCCTTTTGACCTCAATATGAACCAATTTGATAGCGGGGCCTACAAATAAAAAATCTAAATACATGGTTAGATTCAGCATATCAAAGAACCTCATATATTCAATTTTTGTTGAAATCAAACAAAGTTTAATTTTGGACCCCAATTTGGACCAACTTGAAAACTGGGCCCATAATCAAAAATCTAAATACATGTTTAGATTCAGCATATCAAAGAACCCCATATATTCAATTTTTGTTGAAATCAAACAAAGTTTAAATACTGGACCCTATCTTGGACCAACTTGAAAACTGGGCCCATAATCAAAAATCTAAACACATGTTTAGATTCAGCAAATCAAAGAACCCCAAGAATTCAATTTTTGTCAAAATCAAACTAAGTTTAATTTTGGACCCTTTGGACCTCAATGTAGACCAATTTAAAAAACAGGACCCAAAATTAAAAACCTAAATACACGGTTAGATTTGGAGGAATATCAAAGAACGCCAATAATTCAATTTTAGATGAAATCAAACAAAGTTTAATTTTGGACCCTTTTGACCTCAATATGAACCAATTAGATAACGGGGTCCACAAATAAAAAATCTAAATACATGGTTAGATTCAGCATATCAAAGAACCCCAAATATTCAATTTTTGTTGAAATCAAACAAAGTTTAATTTTGGACCCCAATTTGGACCAACTTGAAAACTGGGCCAAAAATCAAAAATCTAAATACATGTTTAGATTCAGCATATCAAAGAACCTCATATATTCAATTTTTGCTAAAATCAAACAAAGTTTAATTTTGGACCCTTTGGACATTAATGTAGACCAATTTGAAAACTGGACCCAAAATTAAAAATCTAAATACACTGTTAGATTCGGCATAACAAATAAATAAATGTGATCAAAGATTTTACAAATCTAATGTGCCATACTGTGCAATTAAAGATTACTTCTTGAAATTTTTCAATATTTGAAATTTGAAAAAAAAATAATATTTGAAGAATAATTCTTTTTAATTTCTGAAATCTGAAATGAGAAAAAATTGGCCCCCCACAATTTCTTTTTATCCCCCCCCCTTTTTCCCCCAAAAAAATTCTTTCCCTCAAGATATGGTCATAATCTCAATTCAAATTTCCAATGGAGTTGGCAACCATAATTACCCATTTTAATTTACCATAGTGCTAACTTAATCTATTTTATAATAGAATTAATAAAAATATAGTGTCAAATCTTTCATATGGATTTTTTTGTAAAAAAAAAAGATGAAAACATTTGCAGATATTTTTACTGGTCTTCCTTTATAAATATGCATTTCTTTAAACATAATTTAAAAGCAGTGTAAGGGAAGTAACCAAAACGTTGTATTTGGATTACCTCCCTTACACTGTTTTAGATTATCTTTATTGTTCATTAACCATTACTTTATACATAATTTAAAAGCAGTGTAAGGGAGATAATTTCAATGATGTATTTGATTTATCTCCCTTACACTGCTTTAAATTATGTTTTGTACTAAAGTATTTGTCCATTAACCAGGACAACCTTGTTTTTCCCCCTTTTTTGCCCCTAATTCCTAAACGGTTTGAGCCATAACCCCCCAAAGCAAATCCTAACCATCCCTTTGTGGTATGGAAACTTGTAGTATAATTTCAGAGAGATCCATACACCGTTCCACAGTTATTGTCTGGAAACTAGAAAATGCTCATTTTTGGCCCCTTTTTGGCCCCTAATTCCTTAACTGTTGGTACCATAACCCCCAAAATCAATCCCAACCTTCCTTTTGTGGTATTTAACCTTATGGTCAAATTTCAAAAAGATCCATTCACTTAAACTAAAGTTAGAGTGCGAAAACCAATATGTATTCGGACGACGACACCGGACGACGACGACGACGCCAGACGACGACGACGACGACGACGACGCCAACGTCATACCAATATACGACCACAAAATTTTTTTGCGGTCGTATAAAAAAACTCAGCTATTTTCTTGAAAAGTTAAATTTCTTAATCTAATATTTATAATCAATTATTATAAATATTAATCAAAGCATTGTCGATGTTGTGATCCAGCCATATTGGATTTGAATACCAAAAATGCTAACCGGTTAACGAGACCTTTTTCAATTTTAATATATTAGATATATAAACTGTGTATTGCAGTCAATATATTCAAATTTTTAAATAATCATCTTGCTACTTAATTTGACAGATCATTGTCCAGTATATTGATTGCTTTTCAATTACCTTGAAAACATTCCAATTTTAAAAAAATTAATTAGCACAAATACAACTTGTCTATCAGCTTGCGGCAAGATCTAAAGTAAACATAATTATCATACATGTATGTATTTTGAACAATTATAAGCTGATTAAATTTTACTGTTTACTTCATTATTTCATTTTATTGTATATTTATTGCACGAACAGTGATATATTTTTGTTGTCGTTCACACCGAGGGGGATTTAGGTCGAAAACATCATGCAAGACCATAACATAAACTTAATTTATGTGCCATATTCCAGGTAAGAAACGGAACCGACCGATTTGATTCTTATACTACAATTGTAAAAAAAATCTATTCAATAAAAAGTATTGAAAAACAGACACAAAACATATTCCTCCAAAGAAAATAACAATTTACGAAGTTAGCTAGCTATTCAAAACAAATAAATCAACCACACAACAAGCAAAAATGAGAAATGTATTGAGTGACCACTGTCCTTGTTAATGACCTAATAGTGTAAGCAACAAAATGATTAATGCCACAGGATAATCTGTGTTTAATCAATGACAAAATGTTGACTTAATTTGTGTTTTTAATTGCTAATTTCTTCAAAACTACTTTTATTTCACACATGAAATTTGGCACACACATGCACCGTGTCTTATTGCTTTAATCAGAGTAAAAAATATTGTGAAGATTTGCTTTCTATAAAAAGGTGGTAAATATCAGGAAAATTTTAGTCTTCCTAAAATGCTGAAATAATTACACTAAAATCTCTTAAATACTTTCCCCTTTTGTTATATCTTATATTTTATGTATAAACTATATTAAAAGTACTATTTTAACCACCAACAAAGAGCGTAATAATTTTATTTTTCATGTTCAAGATTCCATGTACAATACAGTATCTGGAGGTACCCTGTTGATTTTTAAATAATTTGCAAAAACAACTAGCCGTGTGTTATCCGTTGACTTAAACTCTTTATCTAGAAGACTTTTTAGACATTGGGCACCTTACTAATTGGCAATAATACCACATCTCCTTATTTTTACTTAAGTGGATAGTTCTCATTGACAATCATACCACATCTCCTTATTTTTACTTGGCGCATAGTTGTCTCATTGGCAATCATACCACATCTTCTTATTTTTACTCTGGCAAATAGTTCTCATTGACAATCATACCACATCTCCTTATTTTTACTATAGAAGATAGTTGTCTCAATGGCAATTATTTTTACTATAGCAGTTCTTCTTATTCTTACTTTGGCGGATAGTTCTCATTGGCAATCATACCACATCTCCTTATTTTTACTCTGGCGAATATCTCATTGGCAATCATACCACATCTCTTTATTTTTACTATAGCAGATCTTCTTATTTTTACTTTGGCGGATAATTCTCATTGGCAATCATACCACATCTCCTTATTTTTACTTTAGAAGATAGTTGTCTCATTGGCAATTACTACATCTTCTTATTTTTACTTGGCGGACAGTGATCGGGAAGGACGTGCGCCTTGCGCCCATTGTGCTTATCGAACAGAAATGGCGCATAGATTGACAAATGTAAGCGCCCGCGTGGCGCATGATATTTTTCACTTCGTTTTGAAACGTTGAGATATCGTCAAATGGATTTCCGATCGTATTTCGTGCCGCCATTTGTGAGTACACAACTGTGTAGTGTTTACTCCAATGATAGGAGCACCTATATATTTTTGGGAAGTCTCTGGTGTTTTCCTATGGTAATAATAGCAACATGCGGTATGACTGATTACCCAAAAAACGTAATTAACCATCATTCATGATATAATTTTTTATAAACAACTTTAAATTTGTGAAAATTGGCTAGTACAGGCGAGAATTCTTCTCTAATTATAATCTTTTAAGTAAGCTTGCTATTATTTCGATTGAAAAACCCAAAAGCCTTTTTATGAATAGCATAGTATTTGTCTCCATAAAAGGGGCAACTGTCCTTGTCATTTTTTTTGGTCTTTGGCTCGTTTTGACATTTTGTAAACATGCCTTCAGCGAATTGTTGTTGTATCTTATCAATTAACGTTGCTCTCTATTGTTATTCGTGTCATCGTGATGAAGTAATAATAATACAAGTGCAGAGGAAATGCCAGAAACTTCCTCTAATACGGAACGTCTGGAATAAGTATGGTATCGACGAAGACCCAAATTTAATGTAAAAAAAACATGAACAAGGGAACAGTACCAGTTTTAACATTGTAAATAAAGGTTATCGTAAATATTGCCCGGTTTGGAAGAAGTTATTGTATATTCATTGAAATTGAAATTACAAAATCACAGGAACAATATCCATGATATTAGTTAGAATCATACTTGTAAGTACAGTGAAATATACACTTTTTTTATTTTTTGTTTTTATTGTAAATGAATGGCCCACTCATTTGACAACATGGCCCATTAATTCTAAAAATGGCCCATTGAATTTATTTTTGGGGGGCCCTGGGCCCATAGAGAAAAAATCCTTCCAGATCACTGGGCGGATAGTTGTCTCATTGGCAATCATACCACATCTCCTTATTTTTACTCTGGCGAATAGTTCTCATTGGCAATCATACAACATCCCCATTTTTTACTATAGCAGATCTTCTTATTTTTACTTTGGCGGATATTTCTCATTGGCAATCATACCACATCTCCTTGTTTTTACTCTGGCGAATAGTTCTCATTGGCAATCATACCACATCTCTTTATTTTTACTATTACAGATCTTCTTATTTTTACTTTGGCGGATAGTTCTCATTGGCAATCATACCACATCTCCTTATTTTTACTTGGCGGATAATTGTCTCATTGGCAATCATACCACATCTCCTTATTTTTACTTTGGAAGATAGTTGTCTCATTGGCAATTATACAATGTTGACTGTGCATCTCCTTATTTTTACTCTGGCAAATAGTTCTCATTGGCAATCATACCACATCTCCTTATTTTTACTATGGAAGACAGTTGTCTCATTGGCAATCATACCACATCTCCTTATTTTTACTCTGGCAAATAGTTCTCATTGGCAATCATACCACATCTCCTTATTTTTACTTTGGAAGATAGTTGTCTCATTGGCAATTATACCACATCTCCTAATTTTTACTTGGCGGATAGTTGTCTCATTGGCAATCATACCACATCTCCTTATTTTTACTTTGGGGGTTAGTTCTCATTGGCAATTATACCACATCTCCTTATTTTTACTTTGGAAGATAGTTCTCTCATTGGCAACTAGATATCATTGAGATGAGAGCCATCTCTGTGGGCCCCGCTGTGAATAATGTGTGGTAAAAAAATTGTATCTTTATCATTGGACATGGGGTTGTCAACTGAAACCAAAGTTTTTGACCTTGACCTTTGACTTAGGAAGTTGAACATAAATTATGACACACCCTCTGGTGTTGGTTTATATATATACATATCAAGTATAAACTTTGAAATCATAACGGTTCTCAAGATATAGATCTAGAGCGGACACGATCTTTACCATAGGACATGGGATTGTCAACTAAAACTAAAATTTTTTTACCTTGACCTTTGACCTAGGAAGTTGTACATACATTATAACACACCCTCTGGTGTTGGTTAATATACATGTCAAGTATAAACTTTGAAATCATAACGGTTTTCTAGATATAGAGCGGACACAATTTGTTACGGATGGACGGACGGACGGACAGACTGATCACTATAGGGGGTCCTCCATTCCGTAGGGCCCTAATTATACCACATCTCCTAATTTTTACTTGGTGGATAGTTGTCTCATTGGCAATCATACCACATCTCCTTATTTAAATTTTGGCGAATATTTGTCTCATTGGCTATCATACCACATCTCCTTATTTTTACTTTGGTGGATAGTTCTCACTGGCAATCATACCACATCTCCTTATTTTTACTCTGGTTGATAATTCTCATTGGCAATCATACCACATCTCCTTATTTTTACTATGGCAGATCTTCTTATTTTTACTTTGAGGGATAGTTCTCACTGGCAATCATACCACATCTCCTTATATTTACTTTGGCGGATAGTTCTCATTGGCAATCATACCACATCTCCTTATTTTTACTTTGGCAGATAGTTGTCTCATTGGAATTGGCAATCATACTACATCTCCTTATATTTACTTTGGTGGATAGTTCTCATTGGCAATCATACCACATCTCCTTATTTTTACTTTGGCAGATAGTTGTCTCATTGGCAATCATACCACATCTCCTTATTTTTACTTTGGCAGATAGTTCTCATTGGCAATCATACCACATCTCCTTATTTTTACTTTGGCAGATAGTTGTCTCATTGGCAATCATACCACATCTCCTTATTTTTACTTTGGCAGATAGTTCTCATTGGCAATCATACCACATCTCCTTTTTTTACTTTGGAAGATAGTTGTCGCATTGGCAATTATACCACATCTCTTTATTTTTACTTTGGTGGATAGTTGTCTCATTTGAAATCATACTACATCTCCTTATTTTTATATCAAATGATAATACCAACTAACAAATACTAAAAACTTTGCATTTATATAATTTTCAAAGATTTGTCATGATTGTAAAATATGTAAAATCATACCACATCTTATCTTTATATAACCATGAAATATTAACACTGACTAATGAACCATGAAAATAAGGTAACGGTCATATAAACCATGTGGATAGACAGACATGTTTACCTTACAAGCATACCATAAAGGAAAATACAGCTGATCTTTTGCTTATAGTATCTGAGAACCTGACCAAACCACAAAAACTGAACACTGACTAATGAACCATGAAAATAAGGTAACGGTCATATAAACCATGTAGATAGACACATGAGACAAACATGTTTACCTTACAAGCATACCATAAACCAAAATACAGCTGATCTATTACTTATAGTATCTGAGAACCTGACCAAACCACAAAAACTTAACTCTGACCAATGAACCATGAAAATAAGATCAAGGTCTGAAAATCATGCCAGACAAACATGTTCACCATACAAGCATTCCATACACCAAATATAGCTGACCTATTGCTTATGGTATCTGAGATATGGACTTCATCATGAAATTTTAACCTTGATCACTGATCCATGAAATGAACTCCTGGTCAGGTGAATCCAGTGTGACAGACATGTAGACCTTGCAAGAAAAAATGGTACAATTGGTCATTCAAAGGTAATAACTTCTATAAGTAGTTGTAGGCCAATTTTGATCGATTCAAGTGGACAGTAGGTGGATGTAAACATTCTGAACATTTCTACCTGTCAGAATTTCTCGACCTATAGCAGTTTTCAAGATAATAGACAAAACTTGCATTCTAACCATAAATTCTATTTTGAGCCATGTCGGTTAGCAGGGGGAAAAGGGGGGGAGGGGGTCATAGGAATGCACTTTTAAATTAACACCGCCATGCATAAAATTTTAATTGATTACTTTAGTAATAAAATTGTTAAGTCTTTCTGTCTAAAATTACCACCACGAATCAAATTTGAATAAAAGTCCCCACCCTCCGACCCCTGCCACTCCCATTCAAATAATTCTGGAAAAGCTTTAAGCAATTTCATTGGATGCCGCTTTTAAATCAAGTATAAACCTTTTTTTTTTAATCTGATAATAAAGGGATTTTCCATTATACATGTTTTATCAGACGGATATATATATAGTTCACAAATAATGTACACTTACCTATAATAACAACTTGACTGGACAAGGATAATGACTGGACGAGGGTCACATTGACTGGACGAGGATCACATTGACTGGACAAGGGTCTATAAATAAATATCAATAATAGATGTTCAATCTGGAAATATAAATGTTTGTATTGAAGTAGAAATAATAACATGTAATAAAGACTCATTGAATACCATTTTGACATCTCTCATTGATTGGTTGCTGTCTGATTTGACATAGACCTCCTAGGATTCTGACAAAGGACTATTGAATGGTCATTATTTATGTAGCAATATAATTTCTTCTCACTAATTATTGTTTTAGTCTTCATGATAAAATAAAGAAAGGAAATGACATCAAATTTTGATTATTTATAAACATTTGCTACAAAATTATATGTATGCTTAGTTGATACAATATTTTATGATCCTTATGAATCTTTAAAGATTCAACAGTTTTGAAAATGATGATTCCAGACATATTTTCATGAGTCCATGACTCAATGACTGCCTTAGTGAGAACCCTGTCTCCCATCTTTCATTCATACAGCTGATTTCTTAGTTAACAACTCTATTGTTATATACAATTCCTATTTTAATGATTGCAATGTTTTATTAGCTTTTTACTCGTAAATGAAATTAAATATGTAATTACTTCATGTTATTTTTTTAAAGAAGTTGCAGAGGGAAAAATGTTAATCCTGTTAAAAAAGAATTAAAAAGCACTGGACTGGTGTAATAATACTTACTAGAATGAACCAGCTATCTCTTGATTATCTCCCCTTTTAGAATTTTAATATTCACATGAACATTGTAGTTCATTTGATAAAACAAATTATTAAACATTCCAATCTAATTTGACTATTATGTTCACTTACCTATAGTAATAAATTGACTGGACTTGAATAGATGAATACAAATAGATCTTCAAACTGAAAGTATAAAATAGCTCAATTTCAGTTTACATCACATCTGTTTAAATATTTGTTAACTTTCTCTGAACTTTTATATAATTGTCATTAAATGAAAAAAAAAAGAGGTCTAAACCTTTCATAGTTCCATACAAAGCTCAGTGTAAGAGTTTTTAAAATTAATTCATAATAGTTTGAAATAAATGGGGAATGTGTCCATGGGACACAGCTGATGCCCCCGCTTGCATACAATGTTATGAAGGGACATAAGTCGGAATGCACTTTTTATTTGACCCCACCATGCATAAATTTTTAATTGGATATTTCCTTTGAATGTTCAAGCAATCTTTCTTAGAATAACCACCACCCATCAAATTTAAATAAAAGTGCCTTCCGACACCCCCCCCCCCCCCCCCCCCACCCCTACAATTAATTCTGGAAAAGCCCTAATAAGCATTGTGCATGAGTTTCATAACATTTGGTTGAGTTTAACTAAAGTTATAGAACGGAATAAAAATTTCAGCAATTTTTCCATTTGTAAAGGGGCATAACTCTAGAACAGAAAAAGTGACGCCATCAAAATTCAAACTTGATCTGTGTTTTGTGGTAATAAACGAATGGAAAACAACTGTCATATTCTTGACTTGGTACATGAAAGCCTGTTATTAGCCAGACTATTCTCTAATGGAGTCATTTTGGTCATGCCGCTCAAATGTTAATAGTCAAACTTTTTAATCTGAATTTCCACTTTATAAGGGTTAATTATATTTTTGTTTTTCACAAAGGGGGAACTTTGTCTACATCTCACACCCTAGCTACAAATGTGGTATGTTTACCTGAAAGACAATAAACATATCACTGTTTATTAATTCCTTTTCAGTCTAAACTCCTCAGATTTATCTCAAGAATGCCTTATGTTACAGTTTTTTTATTCACAAATCTTCCTCAAGCTGCTGTGTTTAGTGCACTTTTTGAATAAGCATATGACAATTTTGACAAATCAAAAGTCAATGCTCCACCAGTCAACGTCTTCTACATCTGTTAAAACTTTTTTTTTAAACTAGATACCCTAATGATGATTGTGGACAAGTTTGGTTAAATTTGTCTTAGTAGTTTCAGAGGAGAAGATTTTTGTAAAAGATTACAAAAATTTACGAAAAATGGTTAAAAATTGACTATAAAGGGCAATAACTCCTTAAGGGGTCAACTGACCATTTTGGTCAAGTTGACTTATTTGTAGATCTTACTTTGCTGAACATTATTGCTGTTTACAGTTTATCTCTATCTATTATCATATTCAAGATAATAACCAAAAACGGCAAAATTTCCTTAAAATTACCAATTCAGGGGCAGCAACCCAACAACAGGTTGTTCGATTCATCTGAAAATTTCAGGGCAGATAGTTCTTGACCTGATAAACAATTTTACCCCATTCAGATTTGCTCTAAATGCTTTGGTTTCAGAGATATAAGCCAAAATCTACATTTTACCCCCATGTTCTATTTTTAGCCATGGTGGCCATCTTGGTTGGTTGGCCGGGTCACCGGACATATTTTTTAAACTAGATACCCCAATGATGATTGTGGCCAAGTTTGGTTTAATTTGGCCAAGTAGTTTCTGAGGAGAAGATTTTTGTAAAAGTTAATGACGACGGACGACGACGACGAAGGACGCCAAGTGATGAGAAAAGCTCACTTGGCCCTTTGGGCCAGGTGAGCTAATAAAACAAACATATATTTGATTTATTTTATTAAATACTGTGTATAATGCTGCTTTCAAAACAAGGGACACCCACTTTGTATTATGCAGCAAACTCTGAATTTGTAAGGTATACTCGGGCTAGCAGGTAGTTATGATGGGATAGCAGCTCTTTCAACCGGGCTAGTAAAATACTGCTACCAATAAGTCCTGGGCTAGTGAGCTGTAACAAAATTTTTTAACCCCTGGAACGTGTAGGGTGCGAAAGTGTATTGGGCGCTAACGGACCTGATACCTGGTGGCCTTGGGTTGACTTGTATATTTTACTTGGGTTGTTGTCTCTTTGACACATTCCCCGTTTCCATTCTTTATTCTATACATGTAGCTGTCAAAGATACTTTTGAAAAAAGAGACAAAAGACCAAGTTTTGGAATATGTAACTTATCTCTGAAAAAACGGGTTAATCATACAAAAATGTACAATACCCAGCTGATATCTGAAACTACAACATTTGTATCAAGGCTGCATGTACGTAGGTGAAAAAGTAAACTCGTGACAGGCAAGGCTTTCGTGCTCCGTAAAAAAACACACGCCATAAAATTCCTTAAAACTGTTCCTTTATTTTTTGTAACAGCGGTATAATAGCTTATTGTAGAATAACATCTTTCCAAATTAAAAAAAAGCTCCATATTATGATGCCAGGAAGTTACCATAATGACATAGAAAGACATCTATAGCCGCTGCTTATTTTTGCATTATAGTATTCAGATATACATACATTGAACAACTCGATTAATAACCATTTGGTATAAATATGCACTCTCCGCTTGGGGTTGAATCCAAAAGTTAACAAAGTTCAAAATTATTTAATTTATAAAACAAAGCACATAGCATATCACATTTCTGACTAATTCATGAGATATTTTCCTAAGTTAAATGTGCAATTGTGCCTATATCACTCTAAATCTTTGCGAAAGACGAAGAGTTAGCACTAATATACTTTATTCAAGTGCCACTGATGAGTCTTGTATAGACGAAACACCCGTTTGGCGTAGAAAATATTATAAGCATGGTACCTTTGATAAGTATTTACTTTAGGCCTAACAGTGCCATATTCTGTGAGATGTCGATAATTTGCAAGTATATTTCATTTGTCTACATGATTTATTTTCTTATGCTTGATATGTTCAGTACAGTATACATTTTGTCTTATATCTACAGTATATCCTGTTTTATTTTAGAAAATGAACAATGTCGCTCTCATGAAAGAAATTTAAGCGTGCGTGACTTTGCAACACATAGACTCTTATAAATAAGTATCACATAACTCTTTCAAATCCTGCAATCAAAATACCGGGACCCTTCCTCATGCAGTGTACAACTAAGTTCGGGTACATGTATGCTTTGTTTATTAAATGCAAAGTAAACCGGAAAATTCTGTTTCAAAAAAAGACGACATGAACATTTATATATACGACCGTTTATATACATATAATTTTTAAGAAATTAGAGAAACATAATCTATTTGTAACTCGAAACTCGACCTTCGTAACTCGCAACTTGACCTTTGAAACTCGCAACTCGACTTTCGTAACTCGCAACTTGACCTTCTTAACTCGCTACTCGACCTTCATAACTCGCAACTCGACCTTTGTAACTTGCAACTCGACTTTCGTAACTCACAACTCGACCTTATTAACTCGCAACTCGACCTTCGTAACTCGCAACTCGACCTTCGTAACTCGCAACTTGACTTTCGTAACTCGCAACTCGACTTTCGTAACTTGCACCTCGACTTTTGTAACTCGCAATTTGCAACTCGACAATAAGAACCCCTCTCCAGGAGGATAGTTGTCCTGGTAGCAACTATAAACAAATCGAGCTGCTCGTCCCTGTACCTGCTCTATGTCACGTATGATGGTAATTTGGTGAGGATCGATCCCATACCGGGGAAGCATATTGCAGAGTTGGTCTTACTAACGTGGAGTAAGCTGTGGCTTTTGTTGCTGGAGTACACCTTCCCAGGGTTGTCAATGATATTATATTTCACTGGACCACCTGGGACCAACATTTCAACTTGCACGTTTTATTTTAACATACTTCTTTGTGTATTCACAATATATTGTATATGCATCTTTGAGTATAATTGACAAAAACCGTCTATTTTTACCATTTCCTTTCACAATCGTAACAGGAAACATACTTTGACAGGTGGCGGGAAACTAATATCTAATACACATAATATACAACTAGTTTCAGGACTTGTTTCCGGAAATTTTTATGATAAAATTACAAGTCAGACAGCTGGGACTATTATAATAGTCCTAGCAGACAGGTTGCAGTCGTACCGGTTTGATCCAGGGGTACGTAGAGGACGTACGCTGCACTTTGATCATCAAAACAGTTTCTCATTGTTTCTCGCGATTTATATGATTTTTTTAACAAAAAATCGTTAAAAAAAGTTCCGCTCTTAATAGAGGGTAGTAATGCCCTTTACCGTCAGGCGTCAAACGGTCATTTTCGGCTACCGTTATCGTCAACTTGGTAAAATTTTTACCGTGATTCGTCAAGATATCGTCAGAGGTCTCAAATAATTATTGTTAAAGCGTCATTTTTGGAAAAAAATTAGCGTGATGCGTCAAAGTCAGTCGATTTTTTTATCGTCTAAAAGAAAGTTAACAATTTATCCAAAAATAACCGTTAACGTCATTTGGCAAGAATTTTTACCGTTATTCGTCACGAAGGTACCCCCATTACTACCTTCTTAATACATCTTATCGCTTTTTGTCCGTCATTACTGGACATCATATTACCGTAAAAATTTGGACGTGACAATAGAAAATGTCTGACGCCACAAAGGTAACGTGATTGTTGTATGACGTCAATAGTTCAAGTCAGTGGCGGATCCAGGAAGGGGGGGGGGGGGGTCCGGCCCGGGGGTTGGAACCCCCCTTTTTTTGACGATCAATGCATTTGAATGGGGACATATAGTTGGAACATCCCCCCTTTTTATCCTGGGTTGGGAACCCCCCTTTTAAAAATGGCTCAGTGGATCAGCACCTGCAAGTGTTGCAGATTCCTAAATAGCGATAGGGTCTATTTCCGCTCGTCGGTAGTATATAGATTCCGTTTTCTGAAATAACGCCGCCCCCTCTTTTGAAAAATCCTGGACCCGCTCCGAGTCTTGTATATTGACTGCTTCATAGTCTTATATGGTAAACAAAAAGGCTGCATAGAAACAATTTTCCTATACAATTCGTAATGGGACATTCCGTTGAATATATGAAAAGCCGGGGTGATTATACCTTGTTAATGACGCCCCTAAGAAAAATTTCAGGCACATTTCAATCTCTCACATGACTTGTTTTAAACCCCTCAAATTCCAAATTGTGCCAGCAATTCCTCAATTTTACATATTAACACAACAAAAAACCCATCAGAAAAAAAAGGGCACACTTCAGAGGTATATTATGAGCCAATCGGGCCTAAGGAATGACTTTTGATATCCTTCAGAAAAAAACATCTACCCCTTTAAAGAAATTAAATGATTATGAATTGTCCAATGTACTAGTACTAAATATGATCATTTGAACAGTTTTCTTGAAAGAAAACGAAAAATGTTGCATTCCAAAAAATTACTTGCTTTGCAGTATGAATATCACATAGACAAAATGAAGAAAAAATTCTGACATTTGGTTGTCAATCGGCAATACTTATAAATACAAATAAATTATCAGTGACCGACAGCTGGCGATAATAAACTAGCAATTGACAGTAAATCGTCAAAATAAATGTTGTTTGTAGTAAATTTATGAAAGTATAACACAGAAAAACACAAAAAATTAATTGCAATTCAAAGAAAACAAAAAAATAAGGGATTTTGACATAAGGGAAAGGGGGGAAAATGTCCTGTCTATAAGTTCAATGACACTCGGTAAGGCGCCTGCAACTAATAACAGTACTCTAGATAGATGCTGATTTTCTCTTTACTAAGCATACTATGTCATTTCAATATTGTTTACTTTTTTTAATGATTTTTAATAAACAATGTTAACTATACCTCAGAAAAAGAAGAATGATTTGTGCCGAAATTTTAACTTGTTGTTTTAGTGTAGGTGTTGTCATGCAGAGAAAATAAATCAATAAAAGAGAGGCTAAAGATACCAGAAGGACATTCAAACTCATAAGTCAAAAACAAACTGACAACGCCATGGCTAAAAAAGAAAAAGACCAACAGACAAATAATAGTACACAAAACACAACATAGAAAGCTAAAAACTGAGCAACACGAACCCAACCAAAAACTAGGGTTGATCTCAGGTGCTCTGGAAGGGTAGGCAGATCCTTCTCCACATGTGTCACCCGTCGTGTTGCTCATGTTAGTACAAATCCTGTAATAAGTCTAATTCGGTAGGTCACATTCAGGAAAATAATTTATGTCTAGGCCACCTGTGTGGATCATTCAAATTGTATAATCAATGGTACATTTGCGTGTACAATGAATAAGGAAGTTATGTAAGTTTCACCTTTGTTAGCTACCTATTGAAACAGCACTGATAGTTATGGGGCGATAAACAAAGACGATTGAAAAACCTGTAAGACTTGTTTATAAGATTATTTCAAACTAGTAAATAAGTGCATCTTACAAGGCTTAGCAAGTTTGTGTTATGAAGTCCAGCTTTTCTATTTGGTTTACTATGAATTGAATTATATCACTAGGTAAAATAGTTATTTGAAAAGTTGTCTTCTTATATATTTCAGAATGAGGTCCTCAAATAGGGCATATATACGTGTAATATATGATGTCTTTCACCAGTGGCAGACCCAGGACTTTCATAAAGGGAGGGAGATACAGAGGAGTAGATTAAAAAAGCAGGCGGTCAAAAATTAAAAGAAAAAAGAACTAAAAACACATATTTCAACATAAGATGCATCCCTGATACGCCCATTTTCACGAAAATCTACAATATTATTTTCTTCTCATAAAGGTCATTTAATGTAAGATATAGATTTTACGATACTTATATTACTGTCTGAATAATAAAAAGTAAACTAACATAAATGTCGAACTCCATGGAAAATTCAAATCAGAAAGTCCCTTATCAAATGGCGAAATCAAATTTTAAACTCAAACACATCAAACGAATTGAAAACAACTGTCATATTGTAATATAATATATTTAACAGAACTAACTAAAATTACCTTTAAAAATAGTCCTCTTGGTTAAAAAGAATTTCCATTTTCGTTTCATATATAAATATTAGACCGTTGGTTCTCCCGTTTGAATGGTTTTACACTAGTAATTTTTGGGGCCCTTTATAGCTTGCTGTTCGGTGTGAGCCAAGGCTCCGTGTTGAAGACCGTACTTTGACCTATAATGGTTTACTTTTATAAGTTTTGACTTGGATGGAGAGTTGTCTCATTGGCACTCATACCACATCTTCTTATATCTAATTACCGATTGTTGACAAGTCATTCCTACATACGGGTATCTAGTATGTAATACAATACCCTTCAATGAAAAAATGATCAAATTTAATAGAGTTTAGTACAGAAACGTATTCGCGCCATGCAAACTTTTTTTATGTTTCTTCCTATGTTAGCGTTATAACGTGAACCTTTTGGAAATAACGCAAACATTTGAGTAATTTTATTTCTTATTTAAATTTATAGGAAAGCAGTTGTTAGAAATGGAGGAAGCTGCATGCCTTAATTTTTATCTCTCTATTCACTTATTGGAAAGTGAAAGGCTGGAGTGTTAAGCACATAATCATGGCATTATAATGAGAGAACAAAGACAATTGGGTAAATAGAAGTTATGTCGAAAAAAAAAAAAATTAAAAACCAAACTGTTAATGAGTTGATTGGGTCCTTCATTTCTGTATTCTTTAATTTTTTTTATGTCATTTTCTCTATTATTTACATGTTTGGCCAATTATTCTCTTTTCTTTATATTTTAGCAACCCATTATTCTCTATTCTTTATATTTTAGCAACCCATTATTCTTAAAACTCTTTATATTTTAGCAACCCATTATTCTCTATTCTATATATTTTAGCAACCCATTATTCTCTATTCTATATATTTTAGCAACCCATTATTCTCTATTATTTATATTTTAGCAACCTATTATTCTCTATTCTTTATATCTTAGCAACCCTTTATTCTCTATTCTTTATTTTTTGCCCTATTTTTCTCTTTTCTTTATTTTTTTGCCATTTATTCTGCACATTTGACCCATTATTCTATATTCTGTAAACCCCATCAAGACCCTCGTTAATGTAGGCGAATTTATATATTCTTCCAAAGCAAGCGCTCGTATGAGCCTTGAGTAAGATTGGTTAGATCCAAAGCAAGCGCTTGTATGAGCCTTGGGAAAATTGGTTAGAAACAAAACACGCGCTCGTACAAGTCTTGTGAAGATTGGTTAGATCCAAAGCAAACGCTCGTATGAGCCTTGTGAAGATTGGTTAGATCCAAAGCAAGCGCTCGTATGAGCCTTGTGTAAAATTGGTTAGATCCAAAGCAAGCGCTCGTATGAACCTTGAGTAAGATTGGTTAGATCCAAAGTAAGATCTCGTATGAGCCTTGAGTAAGATTGGTTGGATCCAAAGTAAGATCTCGTATGAGCCTTGTTAAGATTGGTTAGATCCAAAGCAATCGCTCTTATGAGCCTTGTGTTAGATTGGTTAGATAAAGCGCTCGTATGAGCATTGTGAAGATTAGTTAGATCTAAGGCAAGTGCTCGTATGAGCCTTGTGTAGATTGGTTAGATCCAAAGCAAGCGTTTGTATGAGCCTTGAGAAGATTGGTTAGAAACAAAGCACGCGCTCGGACAAGTCTTGTGAAGATTGGTTAGATTCAAAGCAAACGCTTGTATGAGCCTTGTGAAGATTGGTTAGATCCAAAGCAAGCGCTCGTATGAGCATTGTGTAAGATTGGTTAGATCCAAAGCAAGCGCTTGTATGAGCCTTGAGTAAGATTGGTTAGATCCAAAGTAAGATCTCGTATGAGCCTTGTTAAGATTGGTTAGATCCAAAGCAAGTGCTCGTATGAGCCTTGTGTAGATTGGTTAGATCCAAAGCAATCGCTCGTATGAGCCTTGTGAAGATTTGTTAGATCCAAAGCAAGCGCTCGTATGAGCCTTGTGAAGATTGGTTAGATCCAAAGCAATCGCTCTTATGAGCCTTGTGTTAGATTGGTTAGATAAAGCGCTCGTATGAGCCTTGTGTAGATTGGTTAGATCCAAAGCAAGTGCCTGTATGAGCCTTGTGTAGATTGGTTAGATCCAAAGCTAGCGCTCGTATGAGCCTTGTGAAGATTGGTTAGATCCAATGTAAGCGCTCGTATGAACCTTGTGAAGATTGGTTAGATCCAAAGCAAGCGCTCGTATGAGCCTTGTGAAGATTGGTTAGATCCAAAGCAATCGCTCTTATGAGCCTTGTGTTAGATTGGTTAGATAAAGCGCTCGTATGAGTCTTGTGTAGATTGGTTAGATCCTAAGCAAGTCCTCGTATGAGCCTTGTGAAAGATTGGTTAGATCCAAACAAGCTACCCTTTTGAAATCGACCTATAAGATCAAGATTCATTATTATTAATATTATGAATTCTACATTCAAATTGCTACACAGGCATCTTATATAGTTCCTTTGTTAGACTGAAATTAAAGCCCCTGGATTTTTTTTTGTCAAAGATTCTTTTTCATATTCTGAGATTTATACCAACAAATATAAACATAAGGAGATATGGTAATATGATTGGTGTAACAGCAATACATAACAAACTGTAAAATTCAGTTGCAATTTGATTAACTCAAAAGATCGATACAAAGCAGAAAAACAACTAACATAAAAAACACAATAGACACAAAACACCGATATACGAGTAATTGCAGTTACTGAAAACTAGTTTAAAGCCAATTACAACTATAAATAAATCATGTTATCCCAGACTAAAGTATCAATCAGTACACATCCAACAGATTCAGTGTAAAGACGTCATAAACAGTCTTAGAAACGCATGGTCGATCTTGTGCAATACCAAAATATAAGTAGACAGTATCGACAGGATGTGCTTTCTTACACCAAAATTCAATATTTTCTTGTTCTTAATAATTCTTTTTAAAGCCGAAAGATTATATTGTCAATTTGACCTTATCGTTTCACAATTGTATGAATTTTTTGCTGCGAATCTCTACTTTGCAACTTTCCGTAAATCAAAATTTTCAAAATCATGTCCTTTCCATAGAAAATTGCTCATACCAGATAAAATTGAGAATGGAAATGGGGAATGTGTCAAAGAGACAACAACCCGACCAAAGAGTAAAAAAATAACCGAAGGCCACCAATTGGTCTTCAACACAGCGAGAAAATCCCGCAGTCGAAGATCTATATTCATGTTAAATTTACGTTTTTCTGATACAAAAATCAAACTTAATTTGTTTAATTTGTGTATATATAATTGAGACACAAGTATTTCAATATTACTATGTATCTTTATGATAATGACTTGGCCTTGTGCTTGGTATTGGTCCTTCTGTTAACTAAATCACACCCACATGTTACTGGCAGACAGTCGTGCAAATGCGGATATTTACAAAACTCTGCTTTTCAGATTATATAATAAATATAAAATTTAAATTCATAAATTAGTTTTTGACCTTACAAAATAAAAAAACTTAACAAATAATAAAAATAGAAATGTTATAACGCAAACATAGGAGGAAATAAAAAAAAAAGTTTATGTGGCACTAATACGCTTCCATAGTTTAGTGGTTTTTAAGGGGATTCGTTAACATTTCTAAACATTCTGATGGATACGGGTATAACGCTATATGATCATGCGTAACCAACAATATTGTACAATTTTCGGATTTTTTATCCGGTTTTTTTTTGTCGTTATCCTTTTCCCTTCAGATTTTGGTTTGAGGGGGGGATCTTTTTAGTTTGTCTGTGGACAATATACTTTTTGTCGTTATCCTTTTTCCTTCAGATTTTGGTTTGAGGGGGAGATCTTTTTAGTTTGTCTGTGGACAATATACTTTTTGTCGTTATCCTTTTCCCGTCAGATTTTGGTTTGAGGGGGAGATCTTTTTAGTTTGTCTGTGGACAATATACTTTTTGTCGTTATCCTTTTCCCGTCAGATTTTGGTTTGAGGGGGAAATCTTTTTAGTTTGTCTGTGGACAATATACTTTTTGTCGTTATCCTTTTCCCGTCAGATTTTGGTTTGAGGGGGAGATCTTTTTAGTTTGTCTGTGGACAATATACTTTTTGTCGTTATCCTTTTTCCTTCAGATTTTGGTTTGAGGGGGAAATCTTTTTAGTTTGTCTGTGGACAATATACTTTTTGTCGTTATCCTTTTTCCTTCAGATTTTGGTTTGAGGGGGAAATCTTTTTATTTTGTCTGTGGACAATATACTTTTTGTCGTTATCCTTTTCCCTTCAGATTTTGGTTTGAGGGGGAAATCTTTTTAGTTTGTCTGTGGACAATATACTTTTTGTCGTTATCCTTTTCCCGTCAGATTTTGGTTTGAGGGGGAGATCTTTTTAGTTTGTCTGTGGACAATATACTTTTTGTCGTTATCCTTTTCCCGTCAGATTTTGGTTTGAGGGGGAAATCTTTTTAGTTTGTCTGTGGACAATATACTTTTTGTCGTTATCCTTTTCCCGTCAGATTTTGGTTTGAGGGGGAAATCTTTTTAGTTTGTCTGTGGACAATATACTTTTTGTCGTTATCCTTTTCCCTTCAGATTTTGGTTTGAGGGGGAAATCTTTTTAGTTTGTCTGTGGACAATATACTTTTTGTCGTTATCCTTTTCCCGTCAGATTTTGGTTTGAGGGGGAAATCTTTTTAGTTTGTCTGTGGACAATATACTTTTTGTCGTTATCCTTTTCCCTTCAGATTTTGGTTTGAGGGGGAAATCTTTTTAGTTTGTCTGTGGACAATATACTTTTTGTCGTTATCCTTTTTCCTTCAGATTTTGGTTTGAGGGGGAGATCTTTTTAGTTTGTCTGTGGACAATATACTTTTTGTCGTTATCCTTTTCCCGTCAGATTTTGGTTTGAGGGGGAGATCTTTTTAGTTTGTCTGTGGACAATATTCTTTTTGTCGTTATCCTTTTCCCGTCAGATTTTGGTTTGAGGGGGAAATCTTTTTAGTTTGTCTGTGGACAGTATACTTTTTGTCGTTATCCTTTTCCCTTCAGATTTTGGTTTGAGGGGGAAATCTTTTTAGTTTGTCTGTGGACAATATACTTTTTGTCGTTATCCTTTTCCCTTCAGATTTTGGTTTGAGGGGGAGATCTTTTTAGTTTGTCTGTGGACAGTATACTTTTTGTCGTTATCCTTTTCCCTTCAGATTTTGGTTTGAGGGGGAGATCTTTTTAGTTTGTCTGTGGACAGTATACTTTTTGTCGTTATCCGTTTCCTTCAGATTTTGGTTTGAGGGGGAAATCTTTTTGGTTTGAGGGGGAAATCTTTTTAGTTTGTCTGTGGACAATATACTTTTTGTCGTTATCCTTTTCCCGTCAGATTTTGGTTTGAGGGGGAGATCTTTTTAGTTTGTCTGTGGACAATATACTTTTTGTCGTTATCCTTTTTCCTTCAGATTTTGGTTTGAGGGGGAAATCTTTTTAGTTTGTCTGTGGACAATATACTT